CCAGGGTTAGCACAGCTAAACTGTAACCCTGTAAACCGGGTAAGCCTGGCAGTGGTGGGCCTGTGGGACTCTGGGCTCACTCCCCTGCTCCTGTTGTTTTCCTCACAGTTCAGAGTTGCTTGTATTTAGTTATGTAAGGCAGGTTGAAAAAATATTAATTGGCTGAACATAGTCCAGAAAGGTAAAAGAACCTGGACACGGCACCTGGAATTTTACTTTCCTCTCAGTCTTGTTAGATTTTGGAATTTCTGATTTAGGGTATTTGATGTTTGTTTGCACCAGTGGTCGGCAGTCCCTGGCTGGAGCGTATCGGAGATGGGCACACTCCTAAGGTGGCTTCACTATTCGGTTGCCCACGAGGAAATGAAGGAGGTTTGTTGTGTGCTTGACTTTTGACGCTACCAAAATATTTTGTCAAACTACTGCATAACATAGAGACAAAATGCATGTATTTAAACACATGTTATGACACATTTTAAAATTTTTTACCATTTTTAATTTTCTATTTTTAAATAATTATAAATTCACACAAAGTTGCAAAAACAATTGGGAGACCCCATAAACCGTTTAACCAGCTTCTCCTTGTAGCAGCATCTTGCATCACACACGGCCGTCACCCAAGACAAGCTGCTATTGGAGCAGCGCCCAGAGCTTAGTCAGGGTTCGCCAGTGTTACAGACGCTCGTGTGCGCGCGCACATGTGTGTGTGTAGTTCCATGCAATTCTATCGCCTGCACAGCTTCAGTCATCACCACCGTAACTCTGGCAACCAGGAGTCTATCTTCATCTCTTCCATTCTCGTGTTTCAAGAATGTTAAATTAAAAAAAAAAATCACATCATATATGACCACTTGAGACTGACTGAGATTTATTTTTAAAATATACTTGCCTAAGGATTTTTTAGATAAAAGGGTTTTTTTGTTTGTTTTTTAACTTATCAGTGAGTGAGACTTGACTAGAAATTTCAAAAATACAGTTTTAATTTATTCTTAAGCTTTCATGTTTCACTTCAAGTTAGGCAGTAATTTACTTAGTTATTCTTTCATCCACAAATTTATCCTGTTCTTATTACATTCTGTGCATCCTTCTAAACACTGAACAAAACAGAAAAAAATCCCTGTTTTCCTTGCATGAGGAAATATGTCTGCTCCTCACTCCTTTGGGACCAGGAACACATCCATAACATACTACATTAAAAAGAGGAGTTCTCAGGGCTGCCAACCTTACAGTAGATGTTGAGTAGCAGTATATTTCTCCCACATAAAAAATATCCCTGTTTTCCTAGAGCTAACCTAACAGTGGTGAAAGGCAGACACTAGACAATGGATAGTGTGAATAATCAAATTGTTTAGTATATTAGAAAGAGATAAAAGCTCTGGAAATGAAAAGGTAATGGAGAAAACTAGAGATCACAGGAAGTGCAGGAAGGGGACACAGTCTGCAGTATTAAACAGGATAGTCAGGGATAAGATAGTCCAATATTTTCTAAATAAATTACTTAGTAACACAAAATTAGATATAGTGCATCTTTCCTTTTGCCACAGAATGAGATTACAATGAGGGCTATTTAAGAGAAATGTTCAGCCCTAAACAGGATGGTGGAGACAGCATTTTGTTCTACAGTGTAGCCGTTCACTTCCCCATACAATTAATGTTGCTAGTCTTCCACTGTTCATATTCAGGTGGAAAAATCTGTCAGGGGTTTTAGCTAGGGCCAGGAAAATAGAAATAGAGCACATCCTGGCTTCTCGTTTGTCTAATGATAAACTCGATTAACATTCTGGGTAGGGATTTATAGAATCTGGCCATAGTTTTGCTAGTAGCTGCATAGATTTCTACAGCTCTGCCAAACACCAAAGCTCCGTTCATCCGCATCTGTGCCTCCTCCTGCCTGCGGCTACTCATCACAGTCGGTGGAAGGAGCAGCGCCAGCTGCCTCCACCGGCTCTGCAGGCCGTGAGCAGGTGCTAAAACCCGGGAGGCTACACCACGATGCCAGTCAGGAAAGCAAAGGCCCCTTAGGAGCCTACTTTACTGATGGAGCCAGGCCAAGCAGGAGGCAGCCGGTGATCATGAGAAACGCACCAACTCCAAACTGCAGGGTGGCGCAGGCAAGGAATGGCCTTATGAGGAATCTTATTAGGGCTTTTCGTAAACTTTATTAGGTGAGATCTTGCCACACCTGAGCATCTTTTGGATTTAAAGCTATCTTCAGCAGGTAAAGTTTCTTTCTGACAATTAATGTGCCCACCGTCAGTGCGAGGGAGCATAAGTCTTTCAAGTTGCTACTGGCGGCCCCAGCAGTCATGTGGGTGCAAGTGGGCACTACAACTCACAGAGTGGGTGGGGAGCTCGCCCGCGCCCACGCAATGGGCGGATGTGTCAAGGTCCGCGCGCCCACCCAAGTGGCCCTGGGACCTCCGTGAAGGGTTTCTTCAGTATCTCTCATTCACCTGTCCCCCAGCCCCAAATTCACTCCTTCTGGGAGACAGCCTCGTTTTTATGGAATCCCTCTTTTATCATGCAAAGCTACAGGTATTTAGTTTGATGGTATATTGATTCTATTTGTTATATTCTTAGCCCACTTCTAGTAAACTCCCAGACTTATCATTACAACTTTTAGATCAGACTTCATTCAATTTCCCAGGATTTCCATTTTCTCTAACATTTCGTAATCACATCTCATTCCTGCCTATCTCCTCTTCCATCGGTCTAACGTGCAGCGCACACGGCCAATCTGGTCAGCTGCAAATGGCCGAGCGAGAAGAGAGGAGAGAGATGCGAGTGCTGGCATCAAACCTGAGTGAAATCCCGGCCCTGCTTCTTCTGAACTGTGAGAGGTTGACCCTAGTGCGTATCCAGGAGCCTCCTTCCTGCTGCCAAGTGCGCAGCGTGACCTGCACTGTGTAACATCACTGCCAATACTTACTGAATGAAGTTTGCGAACTGCCTTGCTTACGGTGGGTACCGTCCATGAAACTTGAGAGCATTTCATTCCTAGTTGGGTTCATTTTATAGATAACAACTTTCCTGCACTGCCTGGACATCGAACTGGCTGCCTTGTGCGCTCTTTGGAACACAAGGATTTAACCAGAAGCAGTGTGGTCCCTGCCAGGCTAAAGCAGAGAGGGTTTCCGGTTCAGGAGAGGCTGAGCTGGAGGCGTTCTCTCAGCTCCTACCAGGGTTTGGGCCTGCGCTGCAGCCTCTGTTCCAAGGCTCTTTACCAAACAAATGTGTGATTTGTCCTCTTCCTGTGCTCTCTGCCTACTTTTTGCTAATCTGTGCCTTTTCAGTAGATTATAATTCGCCTTAAAACTTGTCACCTTCTATTCTATATTCATTATGCCATTTAATTCAATTTAACCTCATTTCAAATGTACATTTTAAGTTGGACCAGCGAGTTCTACTTTTAAAATGTATTCTTTTTTGGTGTTGCCTTGGTAACTAGACTAGAACATAAACTTCCCTGTGGAAGTATAACTGTATTTCTTCAAAATGTTCTTAACCACAGAGAGCCCACTCGTTGCTTTTTGCAGACCCAGTGTTTGTTGGTTAAGTGTACTGTAAAATGCAGATATGTAACAAGTTAAGATAATTCTCCTATAAGTATTCACATTTAAGTTATATTTTACAGTATTTTTTAAATGTCCAATCTCTTTGCCCTAACAGCTCTGAAATATCAAGTTGGATTTGTATATTTGACCCCAAGCTCACACAGCTAGTTAATATTAAAGCTTGGAATGAGTTACACTCAGAGAACCTCCCAACTATTAAGAGCTAGAGGCAAGACATTTGTCATGGAGCCAAACTTTGTTCTTCATTTCAACTTACTGTGTTGTACACATGTGATCACACGTGGTATGGACTAGATGACAGAAATCATACCCCAGAGCTTTCAGTTACGGGGTGCTGAGGCCAGACCTTCACATTATGAAAGAAAAGAGCAGTTGGGAGAGATCTGTCTGAGAAAGGTAAGTTGCACTGAAGCATGGGAATGTGTTTTTATTCCAAAAGGGCCACTCTTAAGAGACAATCCCCACTTTCAGGAAGATCCTCCTGGTGCAAAGGAGACCTGTGCCTGAGGTTGAGTTTGTGCTGCTGGGAACGAAGAGGAAAAGGCATACTAGGGCATAAACCATAAAACAACACTGACATGCTAGAGTCCAGAGAGTAAATACTTCACCACAGAAATCTATTTCAAAGAACTTAACATTGATGTATTGTTTTGGTATATTAATTCTATCAGTTGGAGTAGTGCTATGTTTGCTTAAATAATGCAGTTAGTTCATTTTATTTATATGTAAGCACATAATCAATTTTTAAGTTAAAAAATGGAGGTAATTTCAGCACTCATTGAAAATAGCTCATTTTATAGATGACAGCTTTCCTGCAAGTTGTATTCTCTGAAGATTGGATTGGATGTCCTGTGGGAGTCCAGGCTTTTGGCCAGTTCTTGTTTGGGATTATTAAGGGAACAGCTGATTCTGCAGACCTGACCCAGGAACTACTTCACACTTCCCTAAATTCAAAGTGGCAGAGATGCAGTACACTTCTTCAGAAATCTGATAGCTCTCAACAAAATATACCATATCTGACTAAAACTCACTCACAGCTGACCTTTTCTCTATTTTTCTCTCATCTGTACCCACCACTATCACATACCATCACTGACAACTAAAGCAATGGAACTGTTCACTGCAGTGCCCCCCTCCCATTAGCATGCATAGTAAATACACTGGGGGCAGCTAGAATATTTTAGAAGTGCTCTAGCTTACCACTGTCAATAATGTGTGTGAGTGGGTTCACTCTAATCTGCACAATAGTACATTTTTTCTCACAATTTTCTTATTTATTTTACTGTACATGGACACAGAGTTGTTTTCATTTGTTGACTCTCATGGATGGTGGTGCCTTAAATTTACTAAACTTTTATTTTCCCCCCACTGGTTTTATGTTTCAAATTTCTTTTTCCTTGGGAATTACAAACAAATTCACCTATATTTTTCTAGTAATTCAAAATGATTTTATTTTAAATATTTAACTGTTAAATACATGTGGAATTAGTGATGTTATGAATACAATTTTTTATCCATATAGTTGAATGATTGAACCATTAAATGATTAATTCATCTTTGATCCTCTGACCTTCAGTGTAAATTTTAGTGATCTGGTGAATTATTAAATAGAGGCATGTGCTTGCCTGTGAGTTCTCTACTTATTTTGACATTCACAGTGATTTTAAATAAAAGAATTCATCTTTAATTGCAATAATAAAATAAATTTTAAGATTTCTTTGATACTAAGTTTAATTGTAGATTAAAAAGTACACACTGCAGAAAGCTCCCTCAGAACATTTATAATTTACATTATATACTTCCTGTTTTTCACTTTACAATACAGGCTGTTAATGCAGGCTATCTCCTAAATCATTTTAATTCTTGAAATTTCAAAGTGTTTATCAAGCTCATAACAACTAATCTAAACACAGTTTACTCATTTTTTATCAATAAAGTTGTATAATTAACATTTGCATAAGAAGTATAAATGAACATGTCTATTAAAATAGGCTTCCTGGTTAGTAGACTATTTTATAATTCTTTTTTTTTAAAGATTCTATTTATTTATTTTCAGAGAGGGAAGGGAGGGAGGTAGAGGGAGAGAGAAACATCAATGTGTGGTTGCTGGGGGCTGTGGCCTGCAACCCAGGCATGTACCCTGACTGGGAATCGAACCTCCGACACTTTGGTTCACAGCCTGTGCTCAATCCACTGAGCTATGCCAGCCAGGGCTTATAATTCTTTTACACTGATTCTACCCCTCATTTAGATCCCAGACGAACTTCAAGGGAACATCTCGCATCTTCCTTTGGAATACTTTGTCAAATCTCTCATTTTGCTCCACTGTCAAGTGACATTTCCAGTCTCCAATGGTCCCTAGAGAGAGAAGCACAGGATTGGCCCCTGGGTGAGTAAGTGGTGCTTTCAGGTTAACAGTTCCCTCCAGCCCACTTGAATCTCCTCTTCAAGCCAACCTAAATATCTGCTAGTTAGTTCTCTGTAGGGTTTGATACCTCATGTTTCTTTATAAAGAAATGAACTAAGAAACAAACTTAAAAACACTTCCAAAGTACACTATCCTTATACTTTCCCCAACCACTACCGTTAAAGTATAACTTTTACTGAAAAGGTATAACAAAAGTAAAATATATGACTAGGTTAGAATTGTTACATATTTTACTAAATGCCAGACACCATACTTGGCAAACTTGGCAAAATGTAATATAACTCGTTAACACAACTCTACAATGTCACTATTTCTTCATTTTTAAATTTTTTTTAAAAAGAAGAGATTATGAAGTACAAATTAGTAGTTACAAAGAGTCATGGGATGTAAAATACAGCATAGGGAATATAGTCAATAATATTGTAACAACTTTGTATGGTGCCAGGAGGGTACTCAAATTACTGATGGGATCACATCATAAATTATATAAATGTCTAACCACTATGCTCTACACCTGAAACTAACATAAAATGATTTTGAATGTCAACAGTAATTTAAAGTTAAAAATAAATAAATATGTAAAAAGTTCAAGATAAATAAGTAAAATTTAAAAAATGACACCTGAAGTTTTTCAAGTAATGAAGTCAAGGTCAGAGAGTGTTCAGAGCTTCCATTGCTTCAATTTTACTTGATGGGGTTAGAAACTGTCATCAGGATAGTATTTTAATGAAGATTATTTGGCATCTTTGGCTATCAAATTTTCTTATTTAAACATTATCATTGGCATTTGGAACAATTAGCAAGCTATTAATGGGCATAAAAGTTGTTTTATATTTGATGTAGTTAAGCAATGAGACATTAAAGTTAATAATAAATGGGACAACAGAAGAAACAATTTTTTAAAAATACTAGTATCAAAAGCAGCTTATATAATTAAGAATAAATATCTATCATCAAAATGCTCTTATGAATAAGTTAGTGAATAAAGTATGAATAAAATAGAAAAGAACAAATTATGTTTTAGAAAAGTGTGCATTAAAAAGATCAATTTTTTTAAAGCTTGAAATTAAGAAATATGGGGGGAAATGTATTCATTCTTAACTCCTGGTATGCCATAAAAGCACAGTAAAAATTAATTGCAAGTTGTTGAGTACTTGAATTCATAACACATTGAGTTAATGAAATATTAATCTACTTTTTTTAAAGACTTTATTTATTTATTTTTAGAGAGGGAAGGGAGGGAGATAGAGAGAGAGGGAGAGAGACATCAATGTGCGGTTGCTGGGGGTTCTAGCCTGCAACCCAGGAATGTACCCTGGCTGGGAATCGAACCTGGGACACTTTGGTTCCCAGCCCGCGCTCAATCCACTGAGCTATGCCAGCCAAGGCTTTTAAACGACTTTTTACATTGAAGAAATCTGACACACGAGAAGATAACTATAATTCAAACTTCCTCTCCCAGAACAAAACACATAGTGTGTTTATTTCTGGAATGTTCTAGAAGAAATTAAAAAAAAAAGAATTGGCGTGTCCTGGTCACATACATCCATCACCTTCAGGTAAGACTTAGTAATTTTAAAGAGTAGGATCACATAGACTAAAAGGAAGGAATATAATATAGATTAATTAGGTTCAAGTGTCAGGCTCTGTACTGAAGAACTGGTTAGTTTCCTGGGATACTTTTCAGGGCCATTTTCAGGTAGGATCCTTGATTCTCTCTGGGGCCCTAATGACAGTACTTAGAGACACAGGGTAGAAGCATTCCTTAATTAGTGTAGACACCAAGGACTCACGGGAACTCTCAACCCTTCTGCTTCTATAAACCCCTGAGCATCACCTTTGCGCAGAAAATGTCTCTCATCTGTTTCTCTCCCAAGGTCATTGATTATAATATCATCAGAATTTGCTCTTGGATCATACTTCATGTTCTCAAATGTAGCTTGTTTCACAATGGTTTCCACATCCTCTTCACTCAGTTCTTTCTCAAGAAAACTGCTGATTTTAAGCACAGAACTTCTGAGATCCTGAAAGAGTTGTGGGTATGAGAAACAATTCAGCTTGTGAAGAATGCATGAGTTACATCCCAACATCTTGGCACATTTTGAAAAACTGAAGTTGGTTGGGCTTATTGTAAGTCTAAAGATTGACATGATATGTCATTCCCTGTTCCTTCTGTGAAAACGAGTGCTCTGATTGTCAGCTTTGTTAGAGCTTCCTAGTGTTTGATTTTGCAAGGATAGCTCCCCTTCACTCATTCATTCAACCAACATTTTCAGGGTGTCTCATATGTTTCAGAAACTGTGATAGGTGCTGGAGAAGCTTAAGAGAACAATGATGTGCTAGCAGTGCTTTTTAAGAGTTTACCATTTCATGAGGGAAAGAATGAAGCAGGCAATTAAATACAGTGGCTGCAACAGAAAGGGAAGTGCAGGTCTCAGTGCCTTCACTGGTAACTCCAACCAAACATATGAAGAAGAATTAACACAAATCCTCCTCAGACTCTTTCCAAAAGTCAAAGAGGAAGGAACACTTCCAAACTCATTCTATGAGGCCAGCATCACCTTGCTACCAAAGCCTAATGAAAACACTACAGGTGAAAAAAAACTAAAGATCAATTTATCACCTATGAAAATAAGATGTGAAAATCCCCAACAAAATGCTAGCAAAACAAATTCAACAACATATTAAAAGGATTATACACCATGAACAAGCAGGACTCACTCCTGACATGCAAAGATGGTTCAACACATGAAAATTAATTAATGTAATACCACATTTACAGAGAGAAGGGGAAAGAAGCCACATGATCATCTCAGTTGATGAAGAAAAGCATTTGATCCCTTCTAATCCAAAACCGTACTTATTTTCAGTGGATTAACACTGATCTCTAACTAGTTTGCCTGTATTTTTAGTTATTACTTTGAAACTCAGCAATGGCAAAGACATTATAAGAATACTAATTCCATCCTATTGTAATTCTCATAACTCTTAAAGGGCTCCCCATTGCCTTTAAGATTAAAGAATTTACTATCACTAACACAGTCTACAGATCTTGCATGGTCTGGCTCCTACACCCCTCTCTAATCTTCAGCTTGTATTACTGCTCTTAACTTCTCCCTTCAGTTCTTCAAAGATATGGCATGTACTTTATTTCTTCAGATAAGTTGTACATTCGCTTTCCTTGGCTTAGAATTCTCTTTTATCTCTCTTCCAAGGCATATTTATTAGCTTGCTTTTACCGTGTTATCTTTTTTTTCAGAAATAAACAGCTATCACCTTTAATTATACCAGATCAGTATATTTCACATACTGATATCATACCTGCACTTTTCCTTGATAACACCTGTCACACTTTTTAATTATATATACCTACTTGGTGAATACATATCTTCCCTGTTGGATGATAAATTCTGTAAATAAAGGGATCAATTCTCTTTATCTCATGATTTAGTGTCTGTCACAGAGTAACCATTTAATAACTTTGAATTAATGAATAAGATATGCAGTAGTGAATCAACATGTCTATCAGAGATTACAAAATAGTGAACTTCAAAGTATTTGGTTTATGCAATGTTTTAAAACAGCTTTGATTGGATGTCAACATGTAAGCATGATGCAATTTCACATGAAAGCTACGTTTCAAGATTCTCTTAGAAAACAAACAAACAGGATGAACCTTCGTCCCAGGGCACACAATTACCTCTGGCTGATTCAGCAAATCTTACTGGCTTCTCACCCCAGTGTTTCAAAGTGCCTTTTTTTTTTGTTTGCAAATCTCTGAATATGTGTTTGCCCTTACTGGTACAGATGGGTACATGAAAAGCAACCACAAAAAGATGACTACATCCAGTGAGAAGAGAGCCCTGAGGAATCAGTAATTAAGGGATGGGCAGAAACTTAGAAACCCCTGAAGGAACCTGAGAGGTTAAGTACCAAAAAACTCAGGAAAATGTGGTTCATTAAAACTAAGATTTTTTATAAAGGGTTTCAAGGAAATCATTTTAAAAAATAACCTTCTCCTCTTACCTTTTTCATTTCCTCGTACATCATGAACAGAATATTGAAGTCATGTCTGTGCTCGTACCAGCCTCTGACGTGATCAAACCAAAGGCCTCCCACCACTGTGAGAAAAATGAGTAAGTGACAAGGTAAGATGTTGCACTTATTGACCAGCAAACTATGGTCTTTCTTTCCTGTTCAGAAATTCCTCAAAAAGAAAAGTAAACCTGCACCACTGAACATCTATGTAACCTTTTTAAATTGGTTCTTTGGGGAACAGTTTCATGATTTTAATGGAAACCTGCCTTCCCTATGTATGTAGGAAAGCAGTCATGAAAAAAATAAGAAGCCCAAAGAACTAATTTTGAAGATTAAAGGTAAGTTATTTACTTCCTTACTTCTCCCACCTGAAAATGTATGTCTTTATTCCTCCTTTGATTGCCTATTTTAAGACCTCTTGGCAGCAGCTTTAGCTATCTACAAGACAGAACCTGAACACAGTCTTCTAAATGAGAGCCCCAGCTCCACAGTCCCCGAGCCTCTTGCATCAATCTCTCCTTACCGCTGAAATGAAACTCGCACTGCTGCCATAGAAGGCCAGCCATGGGTCCTTGACAGAACCCCCAAAACTGCATCCCCTTTGAACACTGGCAGTTTTGGAGCACATGGATCTAACTAGTTTGAATTGTTAGACCTTTGTGTTTCTTTTGTGATCTGGTCAAAATATTCCTTAAACAATATGCCTTTGCAACTATAACAACCCCAAAGTGACCCTGATAAGAATAGAAAAGCCACTGGGTGGCCAATTAAATGGACAGAATAACAACCACTTACCTGCTTTCCAGCTTCTATCATTACCCTTCTGTATCTCCCTAAAATATGTTCCCTAAGTTTGAGAATTTGACTACATGGCAACATTGTTTCATAAACATGTTACTTGTATAAATAAGTTCACAGTTACCTTTTCCATCTAGAAACTTTTCCAAGAGTTCCTCTATGCTATTCATAGTTTCAAATATAACCACCATATTTGAAAAATGAAAGTATGAAGTCAAAACATCCTTGGGGTTTCTGTAGACGTAAATAATCTGCAGGGGGGTAGTAAAACACTTTTTAACAATTATTCGTTATTCTTTAGAGGTGTTTTTGACATCTACATAATATTTCATTATATGGATGTGAGATACTTTATTTCATCCAGTCAACTACTCATGGTAATTTAGGTTATGCCTGTTTTTTTGCTGTTACAAAAACTGTTGAAATAAATAACTTTATTCACATGGCCTTTCACATTTCATCCAGTCAACTACTCATGGTAATTTAGGTTATGCCTGTTTTTTTGCTGTTACAAAAACTGTTGAAATAAATAACTTTATTCACATGGCCTTTCACATGTGCAAGCATATAAGACTAATTTCTAAAAATGTTAATCATTCATGGTGTTTATTAATATTGCAAATTATATTGCATAGGAGCTATTTCAATTCATGCTCTGAGAGCATTAAGTGACATTTGATAAGAAGCTAAGGTAGCATTGGAGATTATTTTAAAAAGGAAAAATATTATACTTAATAGGTGATATTGAAACAAATAATTATCCATATAGAATAAAAGTGGAATTGTACCTCATACCAGACCAAAAATTCATTTACAAATAGATTAAAGATTTAAACATGAAAGCAAAGCTTGGATATCTTAAAAAATAAAGAATTTATTTCTGGTCTTGAAGAGGAAAAAGTATTTTCTAAACAAAAAAATTATTTAAAATAAAAATTAATCAATTACATTACATTACACTTTTAAAAATATTATTAATCAATATATACCATAAAGGCAAAAAGCAATGAAGTGTGGGAGAAGCAAAGCATCTAACTGATCATTTATTGCTATTCAGAATATATATAAAACAAATCAATAAGAAATAGACTACAAAATTTAAAAATTGGACAAATGTCATAATCATTTCACAGAGTAAGAAAAAATTATGGCCAAAAAATAATAAGTATTATCATGACTAATAAACATATTAAGAAGTGCTAATGGCAAAATCCTAGAAAAAAAGGAAATAAGTGACAATATAAAGTTAAGTAAAATTTAAGGCCAAATTGTTGAACAGGACAACATATAACCTGTTTGCATGACTAACAGTGCAGAAATCTTTGTATACTAAATAACATATTAGAAAATCTTAAATGACACAAATTCTATTAAGTCTCAAGATTTTGATTTAGCAACTATCATAATGGGAGATTTATCATAATGGGAGATTAATACTCACTTATCTTTAGCACAAATATAGAAGGATTAACTAAATACATTTGTACAATTATTTAACAAAATTTATTTTATATACAGGGTCTGGTGCAAATTACCCCCCTTTTTTATTACAAAATATTTTATTACAAAATCATAAACATGTAATTCTATAACATAACAATATCAAATTCAACATATAACATATTTTAAGTGAAATGTTCAAATTAAAACTATAAATTATTACATGCATATTATTCCACTACCAACCACAGTAATGCCTCAGTAATGAGAAGCAATGCCTCACGCAGGCATTACTTCTGCCAGACCCTGTGTGCTTGTCACTGCTCCACACAGAGAATACATACCTTTTTCTCATGTGGTCATGGAACATACTGAAAAAATTGATCATATGATTGGCCATAAAACTGCTTACTGAATTTCAAAAATTAGAATAGAATTCTCATAGTACCATTACTTGATAATACACATAAGTAATATATAAGTATATATATGTATAAGTACATATAAATATATATAAGTAATCAATAATAAAAAGTTTAAGAAGAAAATTTATATAAACAGTTGGAAATTAAAAATCTTCAGAATAACTTGGACCAATTAGAAAATTCAAACTAAAATGATAGAGTATTTAGATGCTAACAATATTATATGTATAGTTACACTAAAAGGGATTCCATCATTTTAAAATGTTAATATTTATTAAAAAATACTGGAAGTAAATAATGCTAAGCTTTTAATTAAAGAAGAAAAAAAACAAATGCAAACAAAATGTGAGGAAATAAAATGAAAGCAGAAATCAATGAAATAGAAAACATTAAATTATGTTTTAAAAAGAAGCTAGTTCTTTGGAGAAAAATAGCCAATATAATAGAAAACTGCTGCTATTTTGAAAAATACAGAATATAAAAAATTTCCTCGTTACAAATGATGATGACGTAATTATTAAAGACGTAATTGGAAAACTAGAGAAAATTCATTACATTATGAAGGAATATGTTGTAAATTTTTTCTTTTTCTTTTTCTTTTTCTTTTTTTTTCAGAGAGAGGGAGAGGGAGGGAGAAAGAGAGGGGGGGAAGCATGGATGTGAGAGGGAAACACCGATTAGTTGCCTCTCTCATGCTCCCTGACCAAACCAGGGCCCAAAGCCGCAGTTCAGGCTCATGCTCCGAACAGGAATCAAACTGGTGAGCTCTTCTGATTGCAAGACGACACCCAACCAACTGAGCCACACCGGATCAGGTCGATCTTTCCATTGCTTTGAAATATAGATGAAATGAGGATAGCTAATAAAATTAAAATACTGGTTCAGGGAAAGGCAGATGATTTAAATAAACTGATTGAGAGAATGAAAATGTGGAACCGTAAAGCTGAAAGGATCGGATATAGTAATAATGGACTTTAACCAAATCTTTCAAAACTTCAGTTCATTTCTATTTTTAAACTACATAACAGAAAAAGCTTCAACATTTATTTTGTAACACTAGAAATACAGTGATACTAATATCAAATAAAGATAGAATAATCATAGAAAATTAGAGTCTATTTTAAAATATTTATGGACAAAAATTCCTGAGTAAAAATTACCATATTTTGCCATTTACAATGCACACCTTTTTGTCCAAATTTTTTAGGGAAAAATAAGAATGTGCCTTATACATGGGTATGATGACTACATACCATGGGTATAATAATCCTGCGAATAACACACACAAAAACACAGGTGTGCGTTATACATGGGAGTGCATTAACCATTCCAGCTGTATGTTAAATTAGGTATCATACTTCAAGCAAGCAGGACTTATCTCCAAAATAGAACATTATTAAAATATTAGTTGATTTCATTTCACTGTAGATTAAAGGAGGAGGGGAGGACATGGCATTTTCAGAGTTGTCAGACAAGTCACTATATGTGATTAGAACATTTTTGAATAAAGAAAAAATGAAAAAGAAAAGTAAAACTCCAAGCAAACAAAGAATAGAAAAAAAATTTTTTTTCATTATGTGCCTTGCATATCAAAACCAAGAAAAGATACTAAAAATCGTTAGAGAATCAAGGACCAAGAAGAATGTTCATCATCACCTCTATTCTATTTTTCTTCAGGTTCTAACTATGAAAATAGAAAAAAACTGTAAATATTGGAAAGTGAGGAAAAATAAAATGTATTATTTTAAGATCTAATATATTCCAGAGCATAAGGAGAAAGTTGATAAAACTAACAAAATTGATTAAGGGAGACATATATATTAAAGCAACAACACCAATGTTTTATCTTTATAACAGTAATAACTAAATAGAAAAGACAATACTGAAAAAATTTCCACTTCATAATACCCATAAAAAAGTAAACAAAAAGCTGGAAATTCAGGGATGTATTGTAAGAAACGTACAAACGAACAACACAGTACATTTGGTAAACATGTAAGTAGGCCTGGTGAAGAGAGTAATACAAGGGTGCTGAAGGAATTTTGAATAGTGCTTTTCTAATGATTGTGCCAGAATTAATTTAGATGTATTTAATCAACTACAATCAACATCTAAAAATCACTGGACAAATTAAGATATCAAAAAATAAAGCTGATGGGAATTTACCTTATCAGTTACAATATTTAACAGAGTGAAAAACTGCCACATATTAATTTTTGGAAAAAAGAATACAGAATCAGATGAAAGGACTATAGCACCTTCGAATATCAAAATGCAGACTTAAAGACAGTAGAGGAAGAGTACATGCTTAACAAGTCATATTGGGTCAATTGGCTAACTAAATCATTAAAAAGAATAGAATTTAATGTGTTGTCTCAAAAGTATTTTTGCTGTATGCTTTATAATCACAGTGCAAGCAATGTATATGATGACTCAATTTACATATATACTTATAATTCAATATATATTTTAATGTATAAAACAATACAGAAGGTGGATGAGTAGGGCTGGGAAAAATATTTGAAGAAAGTATTTTTGTTTGTACCAAAGGTTCATAAGCTATTTATATGACTTACTTTAGCTTTTTTGCTCATGAGACCCTTGGGTACTAAATTGTAGGTGAGGTGAGATGCGAAGAGGCGAGGGGATGGTCTCTTGAGAAAGTCAACTTTGTGTACATTGTATTCAAAGAAGGGGACTATGTCAATCGTTTTCAAATTTTCAGTTCCATTACGATGTCCCTCAGAATAAATCAAACTCAATATCTGCTGAGTCCAGATGGTACCTGCAAAAATAAATAATCTAATTTTCCACCCTGAATTATTTCTTTCTAAAAAATGTCAGTTATAAATGCCATCTAATGCCATCTATCTCAAAATCATTTGGAGTTTTCTCTTTCTTTCAACTACTCTAAAAATGCCAAGAAAATGTGTCCAAATTTTTTCATTTGTGTGTATTTTACATTAAAATTAATAAAGATAAACTCAGGTGTTCTTAGCTTTTTATTAGAAAAGAGCGGTGACACTAATGATTCAAATTATTCAGCTCTTTTTTGTTTCCCAGACTTCATGTAAGCTCTGTTGCTACAATTTTCTGGGTCTACCTCTGTTTCTCCTTCCTTAGTCTTTCTTAAAGCTTTATACTTTAGAAGTATAGACACATTAAGAGCCCAAGGTCCCTTTCACCTTTTTTTTTTTACATAGGTCTTCTTACACAACATTGAGTGAAAGTACTGACAGACATTCTTGTCTTGTTCTTGATTTTAAATGTTTCACTATTGCATTTGACATCTGTGGTAGTTTTGGGTAGATTCTATTTATCAAGTTAAAGAAGTTCACTTTCTCCCTGGTTTGCTAACAGTTTGCCTCACAAATATATGCCGAATTGTATTAAATGCTTGTTCTGTCCCCGTGAGGTGATTGTTCAGGCTTTCTTCTATACTCTAGTAATGTGGGTAAACTACATTAATATATATTTAAACCACTTATGACTCTTGAAACAAAGGCATCTTGGTCACAGTGTATATTTTAACATTGCTAGACTTGTTTAGATTATAGTTATGTGGTTTAGGAGTTTTGCATCTATGTTCATGAATATACAATCAATGTTCTGGAAGAATGTGAGGTTTTAATAATCTTGCCATCATCGCTACTCAATTGAGTAGATTTACAGACATCATAGATTTGATAAAATTTATGGCGAATCCTGGAGAGTCACTAATCTGCCCTCTAAGATGAGTAAGAACCCAGCAGGTTGGACTGAGAACTGGTGTGTGGTGTCCCAAATACTTGGGCAGGATTAAGGGTAGTGGAAAGACTCTTATTGGCTGCACAACCTGAAACTAAGCAAACTGAGGTGCCACCCACATCTAAGGGAAGGAAAAAAAATACCAAATACCAGATGTGCAGGTGAATTTGTAGAGTGGAAAAATCCAAAGAAAAGGCATTGTATTAATATTACTAATCTGAAATTCATAACAGGTCATGAATTTCAAAGTAGATGGTAAAAGGGAGGGACTGGAACATTTTCATAAAAATCCAAAATAATTTGCTGTGCTGATAGACTCCAGTGTATCTTTGAGCAATATTAACCACTTTTACAACATTGATTCAAGAATACCAATCATCCTGTGTTCTAAAAAGCACAATATAATAAATAAACTTTGGGGGAAATGTCAGATTTGAAGGCAATTTATTTTAATTCAAAAGTATCTCATTACTATAGAGAAATACAAAGCAGTTAGAGCCATTGAAAAGCATATTAGGAATTATTTCTGACTTAGATATACTGCTGACAAAAATCCTGCTGAGTTTTTTAAATATATTTTCTTCCATTCTCACGCAAGCCGACAGACCAGCATTCACTAAGTATCTGCTCTTGGCTCAATATGTGGTTTCTGCATGTGTGCCTTCAAAAATGACAATATGTGCATTTCAAATGTCCCTAGGTATTAAAGATTTGACACTTATTTAACTTTTAAAACATTTTCAATGGTGGTCTAAATGTAGACTGGGCTACTCGTAATGTCTGGAAAAGTGCACATTTGTACACATGTATTAGCAAACAGAGTAAAGACTGATAACAGGCAACCCAATCTTCAAACTTACCGGATTTTGGATATGTAATTATGAAGACATCATCATCTCTGATTTCAAAATCCTCTATATTTTCTAGAAAGTCACTATCATTAACAACAGCAGATACAAAATTATGGCCTTTATAGTTCAGTAAATATTTGTTTGTGTTGTCCATAATTATTTACCTACAAGTACAAAAATATCACATTATTTTCAATTTCTTAGTATTTTATAGTAATTACTAACACTTACTGAGTGTTCAATATATGCCAATAATCTTATAAATATCCTGTGTGTCAGCTGACACCATACTAAAGAGCATACGTGTACATGCATAAATCACTTAATCTTCCCAACAACCAAATACTCCTAGAAGTTTTATCACTATTTTAAAGATGAGGAAACTAAGATACTAAAAGGTTAAACAGCTTTTCCTAAAACCCCACGAGGAGGCGTTATCCTGGTACCAAGCATAAACCTGAGGAAAACAAAGCTCAGGAGGTTCCAGGTTGCCCAGCTCGCAGCGTGGCAGGGTTTGATGTCGGACTCTTTGGCCACTGAGTCCGTGCTTTCGATGACTTCACCTGACACAGTTGCTTAGTATTTTATATTTTTACTCATTACACATTTTTGTTATTACAGAAATAGTAACTTCTTCAACAAATGTCCTTTTTTTTCTGTTTTTACTTTTACTTTTTCTGGAACAGAACTCATCTGCTGCCCTGAAAGAAGCTTCTGAGGCTTTGGGGTCTGTGTCCATTTCAAATGGATTGTGGACTAGGCTCTGCCTGAGCCATACCAATTGCTTGTACTTTGGAGATGTCGCCCTCATGTAGTTGCAAGCTATTGTATGGTTATTATGTATTTTTGCAATTTAATTTTTATCAGAAATCTTCAATAACTCTAAATAAGAAAGTCAAAATAAAAATAGGAAACAAATAGTGTAAAGACATATCTGTTCAACAGTTGGGCCAGCTCCACCTAAGAAATCTATTCTTGAATGTTAAGAAGATGAGATCCCAGAAGTTCTAGTAACACTAGGCTTAGAACCAACACACATTTCAGGAATGTACTTTAAAATAATTCCTGTGCATACCAAGAAAACAAATTTGTTTAAAAAAAAGACATATACCACAATCTCACCCATATGTGGAATCTAATGAACAAAATGTCAATAAACTGATGAACAAAGTAGAAACAGAGGCATGGATACATGGAACAGATTGACAGCTGTCAGAGGGGTGGGGGAGGAGGGACAGGATGAAAGAAGGTGAAGGAATTAACCAAAGAATGTATGTGTGTGACACATAGACAGAGTCAACAGTGTGGTGATGGGCAGAGGGGAGGGAGGGCAGGGGCTTGGTAAAAGTGGGCAGAGGTGTGGGGGGTGGATGCAGACATTTATAATAGTGTAAACAATAAAAATAAACTTTAAAAAAAGTTGCAAATATGGCTTTGTCTAAGTTGCATGTTAAGAAACCACATTTAGTCCTGACCGGGGTAGCTCAGTTGGGCCTTAGCTCACAAAGTGGAAGGTTGCAGGTCTGATTCCTGGTCACGATGCATGCCTGCATGCCTGGGCTTCAGTCCCTGTCCCTGGTTGGGGTGTGTGCAAGAGACAACCAACAGGGTGTCTCTCACACATCAGTGTTTCTCTCCCTTTCTTTCTTCCTCCCTTCTACTCTCTCTAAGAATAAATAAATCTTAAAAAAAGGAAAGAAACAATACTTAATTCTTTTACAAACAATCTAACTCACATGACCAATAGAGGAAAGTCAGGTTAGAATTTTTCTGAGTAAGAGTAGAAAAATCTCTTGCATTAGTCTTACCTGGGTTTTTCTATAAATGTTCATCCTCTAGGTCTTATAACAGACTAAGAGAATTTCTGGGTAGTGTGCCCTGGAAATCTGTATTTTAATAAACTTGCCAATCACTCCAAAGAAATAGGAACCAAAATACTGATAAAGCACTATCTGGGTTTCAGCAGATGTTTCATCTCTACCTCCTGAGAAGACTTTGTGGGTGTTATTTGACCTCCACTTAAAAATCCAGTTAAGGCCCTATAACTTGCTAGAGCTTTCCTGACTTGAGGTGTATTCCAGACAACCTCAATCGCTGAGAACTGAGGATAGAAGAGACTGGCAGATGCATCACAGGGAGTGGTTTCAAGAGGAGAATGGACCCTGGTTGGCGTAGCTCAGTGGATTGAGTGTGGGCTGTGAACCAAAGCATCACAGGTTTGATTCCCAGTCAGGGCACATGCCTGGGTTGCAGGCCATGGCCCCCAGCAACCACACATTGATGTTTCTCTCTCTCTCTCTCTCTCTCTCTCTTTCCCTCCCTTCCCTTTGTAAAAATAAATAAATAAAATCTAAAAAAAAAATGAGGAGGATGGAGTGCTGTTGTGATGCTGGCATCACAAATTTTCCCAGAAAACCCCTCTACAACAGGCTTTGGAGCATGGTGAGGAAGAATTTATACTGTGTAACACAGACAAATGGAAAAGCCCATATGTGCGAAAGGTAGTTAAAGCAAAGGCAAAGATGAAAGTGTGAGCCACTATCACACCCTTCTGACACCACAAATATATATGTACACACACACACACACACACACACACACACACACACCCCGTAAAGCACCAACTCTGCAAACTCTTAATTCTGGGAAAAGAGGAAACAGTGCCAGGCAGCCCACAAAAACATTCTGAAATCACTCCTTTTTTTGCTATATATTATGTTTAGTCTGTCTTGCACAATCTCAAGGAGACAAAATTGTAAGAGCAATGTTGTCACATAAACAAGGAGGGACAGTGAGGTGAGGGTGCATGTTCATGGAGGATCTCAGCATTGGCGAGTCATACATTGTTGGCATATCCTTAATGAATATAGGAGAAAGTATTGTATAAAGGGAAACAATGTCATGTGTTTCCCTTATTCCTGTACTGAAGTCCCAAAGAACAGGAGGGAAAACATAAAATTGAGGAGGAAGAAATAAACGCATTGTATCTGAAGACAGGATAAGATTTGGAAGAGGCTTAAGTCTACCACAGTACTACTCACTGTTCTCCGTCAACAGCTGAAGCAAAATCCACTCTGGTGCAATTGTATGGACAACAGGGAATGACGTGCTGCTGAGGAGTAAATACTCCCCACAAGTTTGTCTTGGCCAGTGAGTAGTGTTCTAGAGCCAGCAGAGAACTCGGCTTGGATAAATAAATTAGGTAACATTTTGTTAACATTAGCAAATAGTTATGTGATTAGTCCAGAAGAAGCAAAGTACTCAAAGCTCGTGGAAACACTAAAGAGAACTGCATATACTGTATTTTTTGGACCATAAAAAGCACCTAGGTTTTAGAGGAGGAAAATAGGAAAAAAATTGTAAAGCAAAAAATGTAGTAAAATATTGAATAACATAAATAACATAGTATTTCCCCAATGTAAATGTAAACAGAACTCAACAGCAGCATTAACAACCATTATTACTGACTTTAAGCTTTAAGTACGGAAACTCCTTTAGTCATCGGGGAACCCCAAGCACTCCTGGTCACTACTGTCCACATTTATGAAGCTCAGTTCCTCAGAATCACTAGTATCCCTGTCTTCACTCTGTTCATAGAGGATGTCATCTTCAGAGCCATCTAAGGCATTGCTGATGCCACATTTTTTTGAAGGACCTCACAACAGTTTCATCCTTAACTGACTGCATGAGGTTTTCACCCACTCACAAACTTGGGTAATGGTGGGCCTCTTCATTCGTCCAGTTGGCGTCAGATCATGATTTCCAGCAGCCATCCATTTGCTCTGCTCTTCTCTCATGAGAACTTTAAATGGCTTGTTGAGGGAAATGCCCAAAGACTGCAACTGGCTGGTAAGCCCCCAGGAATTATGGTTAGATGGGTTTTCTCTTCTTTAAATCTTTTTTGTGGCTTCCGTGATATGTGCCCTAAACTGGTCAAGCAGTAATAGAGCAGGTTTTTACAGAAGCCCTCCAGGACGTTTGGACCACACTTTTTCTATCCATATCTTCATGCCAATTTTGTCCATCTAACCTTTGTCATGAACAATAACTCCTCTTGGGATTGCCTCTTTTGGCACATTTTTTCTCTTGAAAATCAGCATTGGTGGCAGTTTGGTGCCATCTGCACAGCAGGACAACATGACCCGGTAATGGGTTTTATCATGCCCTGAGGTTTTCACAGTTATGGTTTTGGCACCTTTCACATCAACAGTCTTGTTTGATGGAACATCAAAGGTTAATGGGACTTCATGCATGTTCTCAATCTGGATTATTTCAAATCCACTTTTCTTTATTGCACCCACTACAGATTGGTGAAAAGACACAACCTTGGATTCACATTCTATAGGCATTTTTTGTGCAATCCTGGTTTTGGTGCACAGAGCAACGCCACATCTCTTCATAAATCTGTGGCACCATGATGGTGATCAAGTGAAGTCCTCAATGCCTTTCTCTGCAGCAATACGTTTGGCTGCATTTATGATCATTTCTGTAGATACTGAAAAGCCATTGTTCCTGTGATGTGTGATCCTCTCTTTCATATCCACTTCTAACTGTGGCCATTTTGCAGCATGCCCACAAAAACATTGTTTCATTTTGTCCATTTTTTGCAGTTGATCGTCCTGTTTCCTCCATTCCTGTATCATTGTTTCAGTTGGAGGTGGCCCAAAGTGTCTCTCTGCTGCTCTGTTCCCACGTTCTTTGGCGTACTTCACTACCTCCAGTTTAAAAGGGATTTTATATGAAGTGCTTTTCTGCTTTGACATCTTTCTAGGATTATGGTAGATTTAGCAGGAGACTACAGTACACTATCGTATCTTTCTACAAGAAATACAGTAATGATAGAGCTAGCAGCACCGTGTCCTTCATAGTTATGGGAGCACCGTAGCTGAGAACATCAGTGGATGATGCACTGCTATGGGGGGATCTGCTGCTGACACTGCTATGGGGAGATCTGCTGCTGACACTGCTATGGGGAGATCTGCTGCTGACACGGTTATGGGGGAATCTGCTGCTGGAGGGCCACAGGTTGTGTGACACTCTTGTGTGGGGACAGCAGTTTTGCCCAACCTGTGTGGCTCTGCAGCTGTTGCCAAATCACAGCTCCCATCATCCCAGCCTGCCCACACATGATGGGAATTGTAGTTTTGCAACAGCAGTAGGGCCACATTGACAGGTGACCCTGCGGTGGAATTTGCCTATGTTAATATTAATAGGGGACACACCAGTCATGTGATGGAGGCACCTGGGGACCATGGAGGCTTTCTTCTCCTGCACCGCCTCTACCCTCCTCCCTAGCACTATAGTATGCTGCAGTGGGGACTCCCTCCTGCCTCCCTTGCTTCACACTGCCAGGACACCCCCTCCTCCCAGCCCAGGGCCAGCAGCATCACCCCACTCCTTCCAGTACTGGCTTCCTGCAGTGGGACCCTGCCCCTGCCTCCTGTGACCCCACTCCACTGCTGCCCCCCCCCACCACAGTGAGCCAGGTAAGCTACATTTAGATTACAAGACACACCCCTTTTCCTCCCAAATTTGGGGAGAAGTGTGTCTTATAGTCCAAAAAACATGGCACCCAGGAATAATATTAATTTTGGAAACAATAAAACAAAAAGAAAGGTGCACAATATTTGAAAGCTATAGCAACATCTTCCTTGGGCATGAAGGATGGTTAGTAAAATATTTTAGACGAATCTCAGAAAACTAGTGTTCTTTTTTCGGGATTTCATTTGAACTATCCTATGTAAAGCTGGCTATGGCTATGGGATGTTCAAAGAAACTTATGAATTCACAGACTATTTAAATTCATTCTCTAAAATATCCAGGGTTGTCCTTCCTAAGTCATGCCCTTCCACTCCTGTAAACATTCCAGAATACCCAGCCTATCTTCTTTTGCATCCAGTACCAATAATTGAAATATATCTCAGGCCTGTCCTAACAGCTCCACTGGAGGTTTCTCCCATTCATCAGTCATTTGTTACCTACATAAGCTACTCTTTTTCTTTTACGATTTTCCGTCACCATTTATGCCCTCTACACCCTTTTCCACCTCCACTCTCTACCCTCTGCCCACATCACACCACTCTTTGATAATGATTCTCAAGTGTCCACGAACAACAGAATTTGATCCCAGAGGAGGTTTTTAATCCTTCCAATGCACAAGACTTCATTGGGAAGATACACAATTTAAGACGGAGGTAATTTAAGTTTATAAATGTTCAGCCTTCTTTTGTTTTACATCATGTTTATACATTAAGGAAATAGTCATTTTTGTGTGAGTGGCATAGCCTAAAAGGAAATCAGTGGGAGTAAATTACTTATGAAAATGAATAGCTTAGCCAAGAATTTCTAATTTTATAACAAGAATTCTTATTGAACTAAACATTTTAGGGGCCTTTTGAAATTCTCAAGGTGTTTCCCCTTTATTCACCTCTAGGCCAGGCTGCCATTCACACCAGTGAAGGATTTATAGTACTGCATCTGTCACCAAAGGGGTTGTTTCAGCTTCCTCATTTCCATACCAAACGATGATATGGTACATATAGCAATTAAAAATATCACTAACCTTTTTGTTTGCATGGAACTTTCCACAGTTTGGTGAAATCTTAGTTTTCTAAGATTTTGGAAGATGTGCCTTTTTCCAGTAATGGTATGTCTAAACTACTAACTAAAGACAAGGTAGATGAAAGCCTGTCTAATTATAACACAATAACTTGTTCTTCTTCTTCAATTTACACAATCAATTCATCTTGCTTGTCCTTGTATATCTTTTAAGAACTTGAAGAATTGAGCTAATTAGGAGCATATGACAGTATATCACATCAAATTATAGCATATTATATTTCCTAGCTCTGTCTGCTGATGCATGTAAAAGCAAAGAGAAATCAGACAAATGAGCACACTTAAGGCAAAGTCTAGGTTACTAAAAACCTTTTCCTATTTGGAAGAATAAAGAGAGATGACAGATTGCATAAGTAAGATGAGGTTGGTACATATGGGCTTCAAGCATCTTATTATCCCACAGAGTAAAGAAATACTCGGAGAGTACTGAAGACATATCAGAAGGACACCAGAGCCAGCTTGGACTCTGAAGGAAATAAGAGAGTATGGTTAGGACCCTTTGACTGAACTAGCAGCTCATGAGCTATACTTGGGGTAGCTGAACTTCGGTAAAGGGCCAACCAGCACATGCTTTAGTTTTGCAGGCCGAGTGGCAAGATCCAATAAATTAGGTGGTTGTTTATATAACAAAAAAGAAAAAAATATCTACAATTTTATGGCAAAATTAAAACTATAATAATAATTTTAAACATTTTTTGTGATACACATGTCCTGAAGACAAGATAGACAGACTCATAGAGGACAGTTTACAGTCATAGGCAAGTTTCTTTTTTCTGTAAACACTTTTTAAAAATTTAATCTTTACTGTATTTTTCTATTACCATTTCTTCCCATGTCACTGCTCACGACTCTCTTATGCCCATAGATAATCAGTACAATGAACTGAGTTGTCTCTACTTTTTTATTTTATTATAGTTTTCCATTACAATTTCATCCCCTTGTGCCTCCTTCCCCCCAGGAATCACCACACTGTTGTCCATGAGTCCTTTTTCCCGTTTGCTCAGTCCCTCCACCCCTAACTTCCCCTGCCAGCTGTCATCCTGCATTGCAAAGCTAATTTAATCAAACAATGTGATCAACTGAACATCAGTAACTAGCTTACTTTGTTTGGCTAATGAATAATTGTTAACAAATTCATTTTTATTGCTGCCTCATTTTGATTTTTTGTTTTTGTGAAGCAATTCTACTATGATGAAATATTTTATTTGAAATTTCTAGATTTTTCTAGCCACTCCTTTCCTGTTAGTTTGGATTGTTGTGATAACTGCTTAATCTGGTAATATTGATGTATCCTGAATTCTTTTAACCTAGCTCTAGTGTCATTGTATTAAAATACAATGCTTCACTAACTTCTTCAACAGCATTAATCCACACACCACTGTACCTTAAAAGAATGACATTCAAAGTTTGTTATTTTCTTGTCTTTTCCATATGAGTATGTGCTGGTAATAAAAACATAAAATTATAAAATCATGACTACACCCATGGCACAGAAAACACAGCGAGTTATAATGACATCATTATCACATGTCAT